GCACACGATGAGACACACATTCGGCACTTAATGCTGTTTGAATACAAGAAGGGAAGCGATGCCTCTGTAGCCACAAAGAATATCAAAGAAGTTTATCGAAATGTTTTGAACGTTCGCAACTATCAACGGTGGTTCAGCAAATTTCGTTCAGGTGACTTTAGCCTTAAAAAGTGTGATGGTAGGGGCCAACGTGTTGGAATTGATATTGATGCTCAGAAGACACTTGTTGACTCTAACTCAAGGTAACACACTCGTGAAATGGCCCTGAAATTGCATGTCTCTCATGAAACAATACGTAAACATCTAAGGAATATGAAAAACTCCACAAAGAAGGTGTTTGGGTACCTCATGAACTCTCCAGTGATCATTGTTTCCAACGTGTGAATGTTGCTTCGTCTCTTTTGGTGCATAATGCACATGAACCATTTTTGGACAGAATTGTCACTGGTGATGAAAAATGGATTCTCTATGCGAATATTAAACACCAAAAATAATGGCTCAGTCCTAGGCAAAAACCACTTCCGACCCCAAAACTTGGAACTTGGACTCCATCCGCAGAAAGTGATGCTTTGCATTTGGTGGGATGTCAAAGGAGTAATTCATTTCGAATTCCTCAATCCACGGCAAACTGTCAATGCAAAGATCTATTGGAATGTTTAAATTAAGCCCTTCATCAGAAATACCCTTCACTCGTCAATCAGAAAGTTGTTCTTCTCCACGACAGTGCACATCCACATGTGGCACGTTTGACGCAGCACAAGATTATGGAGTTGGATTGGGAAGTTCTCCTCCACACACCATATTCTCCAGATATGGCACCATCAGATTACCATTCTTTTTCGTTCGTTGCAACATCATCTTAATAGGAAAATGTATGCAAATGTGGAAGGTGTTAAAGAGGACATCGACATGTTTTTTTGCTTCAAAGCAAAGCGATTTCTTTAATCAGAGTGTTAACAACCTGATTGTAAGATGGAAAATCATCATCGATAAGAATGTAGACTATTTTATTTGATAAATGTTTTGTTTTAATTTATAAGTTGTTCGGCTTTTTTTATCTAAATAAAAGCGACATTAATTTCTTGACGACCTAATAATTCTAGATGGCTTCTCCCATAAACCAGTTCTAAAGCGATGAAAATGTAAACTCACTCTTCATAATAATCATCGTAAAATCGATGTTGTTGTTCTTTGAGTAGTTCGTTTAACAAGAGAAATATATCTGGTTATTTGCTCCAAAATATTATTTACTCGTTGCCATCTCACACATCACTAAAATAGATCTATTGAAATCTCTATTAAACTATTCATCCCCTACAAATTTAAAATCTACAGTTCTTGTTAAACTATCGAGTCCAAGCTATCCAGCCATCTCTAGACACATTATCTAAACTTTTGTAAACCAATTAAACCCAATTTTTCTAATCCTTCAAACTCTCCAACCCCTTTATACCTAAATTATACACCAACTTGTCTAAACTAGGACTGTTAATATCTTCTAAATCCAAACTACCAACCCCTTCTATATTCAAACTACGAAGCCCTTCTAAATTCAACCTATTAAATCCAACATCTCTAATCCAATCCTATACAACCATACTAAACCTAATCTATCCAGCTACGCTATATCTATTCAAGTAGTCTTAAACCAAGATGTTCGAACTCGTGTATTAAACAATTCACCCCTTTTAAATCCAAACTATCTTGTTTCTCTTCGTCCAAACTATCTAGCTTCTTAAAAAACCTAATTAACCACCCTCTTAAAACCCAGACTAATAACCCAAAAATCAAAACTAGTACGTTTCCTCTAAACCAGAATTGCCTACAACTTTTAAACTCGGAATATCCAACCATTCTAAATTTAAAATTTCCAGCCATTATTATCCCAAATAATTCAACCTTCTCTCAACACAAACTATTCATTCATTGTAAAACCAAACTATCTGAGCTCTTTTAACCTTCTCTAAATCTGCAGTACTCGACCACTGGAAACATAAACCATTCAACCTTCTTAAACCCAAACTATTCAGTTCTTCTTGGTGCAAAAATACGCAGCCCTTCGAAATTTAACACATCCAGTTATTCTTAATTCAAGCAATTCACCCCTTCCTAAACCAATTTACGCATCTCTTTCAAGCATATTTTATCTAGATACCCTAAAACCAAACTGCTAAGCCCTGACGAGTTTCTCAGATTTTAAAATTGAAAACATCCATCCCTTCTGAGATAAATCTAAGCAACGTTCTTAATCCAAACTATCCAGCTTTCTTTAAACCAAAGCTATCCAACTTTCTTTAAACCAAAGCTATCCAACCGATATGTGCTCAAACCATCCATCTCCTCTAAAGATTAACTATGTAGTATTCTATAAACGGAAACCGCACAACCTTCTCTGAACCCTAACTACAAAACCCTCTCTAAATGCAACCTTTCTAGTCCTCTTTATTCTCAAACTATATAGTTCTTAATAAATTTAAGCTATCTATTCTTTACTAAACATAAGCTTACCAGCCTCAGTAAACGCAATCAGTCAAGCCTATCTAAACCCATACAATCTACCTCCTCAAAATCTTAACAATCAATCCCTCTAAACCCAACTTACCTAGTTTTCTAAATATCTTGTAGCCTACACTAACTAGCCTTACTAAACCCAAAAGTTTAACGTTGTCCTTTTAACTACAACCCTCTTAAACCCAACTGCCCAGCTTTCACTAAACCCAAATTATCCAGTCTTTTCAAAACCAACTTCCTCAGCCTTCTCAAGTTCAAATTATTTTACTTTTCTATAATAATCCTATTTTATTTCCTAAAACTATTCAGTCATTTGTAAAACCAAGCTAAGAATCCATTCCCTACTGAAACTTAGCCTCTTTGAACCCAAACCATATAGTTCCTCTAAATCTAAATTAACCAAACCATCTAAACACAAAATATGCAAAACCTAAACTTAATGTTTTAAGTCCTTCTAAAGCCATGATATTCACCCTTCTCTACTTCCAAACTATAAAGCTTTCACTAAACCAAAGGTACCGAGTCTATTGAAATGCAACTTTCTCTAAATCAAATTATTCTACCATTTTTAACCAAACTTTAAAAACCCAGAACTATCCAACTCCTCTGAACCAATCTTTCCATCCTTCCCTTAAATTTAAACTAGTCAGTCTTTTCCTACCTCAAATTAGCTAGCCATTCTTAACCTGAAATATTCGAGATCCAAATAATCTAGCTTCCTCTTAATCTAAATATCCCAACAAATTATCATGCCTTATATGAAACCATATCTATGTAGTTTCTATAAATCAAACTGTCAAGTTCCTCTAACAAACAAATTGACAATTCTGTCTAATCCTAAACTATTTAGCCCCTTTAAACCAAAACTATTCAGTCCTTCTAGGCTCAACTTATCCAGCATTCCAAATCCCAATTTTTCTGACATGTACAGCTGTATAGCTATTTTAAGACCAAACTAATGAGCTCATATAAACTAAAATATCCAGCGTTCTCTGGTTGAAAAAAACTATCAAAAATACTCTAAATCTAAACTTCAATATTTCTTAGGTCACGTACTTTAGACTTGTAAAATTAAACTCTCCATTGCTTGTCAGCCCTAACTATCTAATCCTCTAAAACCAAAATAACCAACTCCAATTAACTCAAGGTATTCATACCCTTTAAACTTCAATTGTCATATACTTTATAAAATTAATCTAATTTTCATTCTAACTTAAACTTTCCAACCTTCTTTAAGTAAATACCAATCAAATCCTTTAAATCCCATAACACTGAGTTTATTAAAAGCTTTTAAATTAAAATTATTCTCAAACATATTTATGTCAAACCATCCATCCTCTCTGAATCTAAACTATTTTAACCTAATCTTATTCAACTTCTTTAAACACATCTATCTATTCTTTCGAAATGCAGTCTAATGAGCCCTTCTAATTCCAAGCTAATCAACTTTTCTAAATACAAGCTCTCTAGTATTTTTAGACCCACACTTTGTAAATCCAAACTACACAGCCCTTCTAATACTAAATACTACTATTCATTTAAAACCAAACTATCCAACTTTATACAGTTCAAACTCTCTATCTCCTACAAGACTAAGCTATCTAACCTCTCTAAATTCCAACTCACCACCTCCTCTTAACCTAATCTATTCCGTATCTCTAAATCCAGAATATCTTATCTCCTGTCAACGAAAAATATCCAACCTCTCAAAACCAAACTATCTAACCCTTCTAAACCCAAACTAAACAGCTATTTCTAAACTCATCCTGTCTAGTTCTCTTTAAGTTACTCTTTTCTGAACTTTTCATTCCTTGCTACACCAAGCTTTCCAATCCTCTTTAAACCTAAGTAACTTAGTCTTTCTCAAATAAATATGAAAAATATCATTCCCTGTTCTCAAAATAAAGTAAATGCAGTTTTTTATAACAAACTTTACATATTGTTTGTTTGTTTGTTATGGATTTCGCGCA